AGTATTTGCGTAAATGAAGATTTCCACGATGCAATAATATTGCAGCGAAAGTTCTGAGTTTTCCCGGGTCAAGAATCCTCCTATTATGATACTCATTGAGAAAGTGGGAAACTCAATAAGTAGTTACATCAGAGTGGATAGGTTAAAGAAGGGAAGAAAAAAACGAAGCCTTTAAAAGTTTTTTTTCCCTTACTGGCCGATCCAGATATCTTGGAGCTTGGGGGGGGGGGGGGGAGGGGGGGGGCTTTTGGGATTTTTTTTAAAAAAAGTATTTGTCAACAAAATACCGGAAGTGTTCATAAAATCTTCCTCTTAACCGTACCCCCTTTGGAGCCCGCTTTCCCCACCCCGCCCCGACGGGATCGCGCGCACCCCTTTTGCCGGGCTCCTCTAGTTCTCCCTTTCCTTTCCCAGGATGCTTTTCGCCCTCGCTCGGCGTTCCTCCGCCAACCTGCCTTGCTCGGGGCTGACGTCATCGGTGCAGCGGGGCGGGAGGGAAAGGGGAAGCGAGCTTGGTTATCAACATGGCGGTGGCCCTGGCGGACGTGAAGGTGGACTGAGAGGCCCAGAGGACGGGCCGCTTCCCGCGGACGCGGCCGAGCTTATCTCTCTCTCTCTCTCCTCAGCGGCCCTTTGGCTTTGTGGGGCGCCGCTGCTCCGCCCGGCCTGACTCTCGCCTCCTCTAGACCCAGGGCTGGGTGGGGGTTCTCCCTCTCCTCCTCCTCTTCCTCCTCCTCCTCCTCTTCCTCCTTCGAGGCTGTTCTTCTTCCCTTCCTGGGGGGGCTCCCTCCCCATAACGGGATCACTCCCCCCCCGTGATTGCACTAGAAGACCTCCAAAATCCTTTCCAGCCCTATGATTCTATTCTGTTCTATGATTCAGTCCTACAGAAACCTGTTTCAGAGCCAGGAACACTTTTGTTATTCTGAGACAGTCCCTGTGCAGACTACAAGCTGTTATTGTCCTTTACTTCTAAGAGTCTCCAAGGGCCAGTCTGAGTTGGTGGATGGAGGCACTTCACTCTCCTTGCCAAATGCTCCAAGCTGCAGAATGTAAAGATAATTGATGGATATTAAAAATAGCAACTCGGGAGGCAGAATGATATAATGTACATTTATAAATAAGACTATAAAATAAACTTTAAACAAGTAAAGACTGCTTAATTTAATGAGAGGATTTCCAAAATTATATTGCCACTTTTTCTTTTTAATTTCATTGCCTTTCTTGTACTGTATATTATGTGTATAATATACAGTACATAGTTTGATTTCCCGCTTCTATTATTGTCAAAACTGAAGCCAGGTGGTAAATGCTAATAATCTTTAAAAATAAAAAGTCCATAAACTACTGTTTAGGCACTAAAATACTCTACTGTATCACAAATGCTCCACTGTTGCAATCTACTCCAATCATTAAAAGCTAGCATTAATGGTCAGGCTTAGATTGAGGAGAATAAATCTACACCTGACATGCAATGTAAATTGTTTATGCTTTCACTGGCAGCTTCACAACCAGTTATATTTTGACAGAGGGCAAAGAGGATTCGTAAGCAATTTCATCAAATTTCCTTGGTGGTGCAGTGGTTAGAATGCAGTACTGCAGGCTTATTCTGTTGCCTGCTGGCTGCCTGCAGTTCAGCAGTTTTGATCCTGACCGGCTCAAAGTTGACTCAGTCTTCCATCCTTCCGAGCTCGGTAAAATGAGGACCCAGATTGTTGGGGGTAATATGTTGACACTGTAAACCGCTTAGAGAGGGCTGTAAAGCATTGTGAAGCGCCATATAAGTCTAAGTGCTACTGTTTGTTTTTTTTTAATTTGATTTATATGCCGCCCTTCTCCGAAGACTCAGGGCGGCTTACAATGTGCTCAGCAATAGCCTTCATCCTTTTGTATATTTATACAAAGTCAGCTTTGCCCCCACAAACTGGGTCCTCATTTCACCTACCTTAGAAAGGATGGAAGGCTGAGTCAACCTTGAGCCTTGGCAAGATTCGAACCCTGCAGTAATTGCAGGCAGCTGGTCTTAATAAGCTTAATAACAGGTGCCTTAAACCCCTGTACTACCAAGGCTCTTTTGCTATACTTCCCAACATGCTTTTTTTCTTTTAAAAAAATCATGTTCGTTAGTCTTTTAATTTAAACCATATGGTGTAATAACTGAAAAGTATTGAACTTTGATCCAAAATGGTAGACTAAAGATTTCCATATGTCAGAATTCATCTCCACAATTATCCTACTGCCTCTCCTACTGCCACCTCCCTGATCAAGAAGCCTGAGATGATCTTTAGAAAGAAAAAAAACCAGAGACATACCTGTAAGAGAGGTAGCAATATTATTGTAAAAAGTGCTTGTCTCACTTTCAACCACTGGGAGGATACAGGCTCCAGCATAATTAAACAAGGTACCATCAGAGAGTAAATAGCCAAGAAAGACCTAGCTGAAGATATACCATCCTTATTGAATTGACTGGAAATGATAACAACAATACTATTGTATTTGAGTTAATGTAGTGGACAAATACCAAATAAATCCAGAAGAGCAAACTTCAAAATCTGTAGAAGAGTTTGAGATTTCTGAAAACCAAACCTGATAAAATAAATAACTCAAATCAGGACAAATGAAATTTACAATTTGCCAGATCTTAACAAACACATGAGCTTTTAAAAGGAAAGAAAGCCATCTTAAAAATATGATAAGTCTTCCTGAAATGTGTAACAGAAAAAACCATTGGGGAAAAGCTCTCAAAAAAAAGAAGCAAAATATTTTGAGCATGTGGCTAAAACATTAGGACCTTCAACAACAAGTTTTTAAAACATTATAAACAGCAAGCTAACTAGATAGGCTGTAGGACCAAAACAAAAACATTAAAGGAGGATAAGAAGATTTCAGGAAAACAACAAATTGTTACATTTGTCTGCATGGTGAAGGATGAACTAAATAAAAATAGAAGTGACAAGAAAGTGAAGTAATAGACCTACTGTAGTCACCAGAGTAAAAATAAACAAATCACTGGGTCCAGATGGTATCCATTCAATGTTTTAATTCCAAGGTGAATTTGCTGATTTTCTAACAAAAAAAAAAAAGCATCGTTTCTCCTTAAATCAGCATCCATCTCTGAGGACTGGAAAAATGGTAGAAAAAAAAAGATTCAGGAAATTTTAAACAGCCTAAAGTCTGTTCTACTACAATGATAACTATTATTGTTAAAATGAAAAATGATAATATACATGTCCAATAGAAGACCTGTAAGCAATTCTTCTCATCATGTAGACATTTTAAAGTTTTCGGCAATTATGTAGATTGTATAAACTGGTAAATACTGTATATTTAAATATTTTTAAAGCTGTTTAACTCCTTATGAACTCATGAATATGCTTCCTAGAGTTTTGGGTGCTTCATCACTGGAGGTTTTCAAAAAAAGATTGGACAGCCATGTGTCCAGGATAGCAATAGCATTAATGCTTAGACTTATATACCGCTTCACTGTGCTTTACAGCCCTCTTTAAGCAGTTTACAGAGTCAGCATATTGCTCCCAACAATCTGGGTCCTCATTTTACCCACCTCGGAAGGATGGAAGGCTGAGTCAACCTTCAGGTTGATGAGATTCGATCTGCCAAATTGCAGGCAGCTGGCGGTCAGCAGAATTAGCCTGCAGTACTGCATTCTAATCATTGCTCCAGGGTAGTATAAAGTCTTCTGCTTCGGGCATTGGTTGGACTAGAAGACCTCCAAAAATAAAGCTGTCAATGTAATAACTTCGCATACTGTACATCTCCAGTTGAACACATTTGGGTCTTTTCAGCATTCTGGTTCCTGAATTTGAAAGAGGCATTACAATCTGAAAAAAAGTACAGAAAAGGGCAAACAAGATGAGTATGAAGCTAGAAGAAAATGTTAGTAATTTTTTATTCTTTAGCAACTGAGAAAAGAGATATGATCAAGTTTCATAATATGGAAAATGTGGACAAAGATAAATTATTCTCCCTTTTTTATATTAAAAATGAGATTCTGTACTAAATGTGAAGAGATTCAATATCTATAAAAGGAAATGCTTCTTTACATAATTCGTAAATTATTATATTTTCTTGCATTTGGATGTGATAAGGGCTACCAACTTAAATGGTTTTAAAAGAAGGTAAGCCACTTCTTAAAGCATCTAATAAGGGTTAGGCTTGATTAATTCTTGAATAAGAGGCCACTAACAAATCTGAAAGAAAATCTCAGGAAAAAACTGGGAAGTCAGTAAATGATCCAGTGGTTAAAGCAGTAGGCTAGAAAGCCAGAGGCTATTGGGTTCTAGTGCCATCTTAGTCCATAAAAGCCAGCTGGATGACCTTGGTCCAGTCACACTTTCTCAGCCCAACTCACCTCAGGATTTTTATGGTGGGAAAATAAGAGGAGGAAGGTATTTTGGATATGTTCACCAACTTGAGTTCTTTGTAAAAATAATAAGGATTGGATACAAATGAATAAAAATAAAACATTGAAAAGGAGGCAATGGCAAACCTCTCGGTGCATTATATTGCTAGCAAGGAAAATTCATGGATTATGTCCATCAAGTCCATGATAGGCTCCAGAAGAAGTCAAATCCCACTCAAGGAAATTTTTATCCTAGACAAATTCATGGAGGAGAGATATTTATTGATGTTAGGTATAATAGCTGCACATAGTCAACATTTGTTAAATGGCAGCTCTGTGGGAATAATAGTAAAAGACAGCTATCATCCTCTCACTTTGCTTCTGAGCTTTTTGGGTGTATTGGTTTCCTATTAATGAGCCTTTGGCCTCTTATTATGTTATTAATGATTCTTAGTTGCCTTAATTGGAAAATGAAGTCCAGACTAGAAAGTGTTCTTAAAGACTGTGATGGAAGATAAGTTGGAAGAGCATTGTTTGATCTATGCAAAGCTCCTCTGTTTAAGGCTTGATAGGTTAAAGTTTGCAACTTTAATTGTAATCAGAAAGAAACAGTAAAAGCACCCATGCACTAGCATTCTCCCCCAAATTAAGCGCCTCCGTTTTGAGGCTTGCCCCCCCTTCTCCTTTCCTTAGAAAATTGCAAAAGGCTCTGCCTTCCCCCCGCCACCCCAAATTAGGTCTTCTCCCCCTTTCTTGGTTTTCCCCCCCCTCCTTCTGCCCCAGATTTCCTCTGCTAGAAATTGGTGGGGGTTCACCAAATCCTTCCCCCCCCACACGTTTAAATAAGAGGTCATATAGACGTTTCACAGCCTCCCCCCCATGTCACCCCCTCAGAAAGGTCTCCCTCCCCCTTTCTCTTTAACTTATCCTGGCAAAGTTTCTCTTTCTGCCCAACCTAATTCCTCCCCCACCCAACCCAGAGTGATTTGATAACCTCCTCCCCTATCTTGCTGAATCCCTTTTCTGTCTCTTGAATACTCCGTCCACAATCCCTTTTTTAATTTTTTTTTTAATTTTTGGGGGGGTTTCTGGCATCCCTGACCTGTTGAACCTTCAATCGGTTACTTTCCTCCATTTTGACAGATACACCTTGGTGTCCCTGCCTTTTTTTCCCCGGGAGAGGCAGTTCTGCAGACAGTTTTTTCTCTCTCTCTCTCTTTTCTCCTGGCAGCTGCTTCTTCTCATCCTATTTGTCTTCCCTAACCCTGAAGCATTTTTAGGTCCTATTCGAGGTACGCCTTCCTATCGTCGGGGACCCTTATAGGGGATTTGGTTAGTTTGCCCTTCTGTTCAACTCTTGCTGAGCGACTGACCCTTTCTTAGTTGTTTCCAAATTGGTGCATCTTTCATGTCAATCCCCTTTAAGGACTATTTTTTCTTCTAATTCAGACTATGGGTTACTTTGTTGTGGGATAGTTGTTGTTTTTTCCCCTTCCCTGGGCCAGTTTGGGAGGTGAATTCATTGCTTAAGTGCTTTCTCCTATCGGCAAGACTTGGTTAGTATCTTGAAATTAAATTTATATGTGGGAAACTGGAGTCAAACTCTTCTAAGAGAAGACTGCGAGAGAAGCCTCTGAAAGCAGCCCTGTCGACCCTCTGCACACCTTCACCAACTCAGGATGTCAGAGAATCAGCCCAACAACACCCATCATCCACTGAACAATAATGGGGTGGGCGGGGCCCCTGCTGGCAATAACCGAGGGGTCCGCAATCTCAACCAGAACCCTCTCATCAATGTTCGGGATCGCCTCTTCCATGCCCTTTTCTTCAAAATGGCTGTCACCTATGCCCGCCTCTTCCCACCGTCTTTCCGTCGCATCTTTGAATTCTTCATACTCCTTAAGGTAATGGTGGAGGGGTAGAGGGAGGTAACATTTCCCTTTCAATGTGTATATTCTCTTATGGGTTGAATGCTCGCTAAAGCTTATGGGGAAAAAAGTTTTTAGCCTCTACAGATGTGGGGGTGGCACATTCCCCCCCCTTGGTGAACATTTTATTGGCTTGTGATAGATTATTCTCTTTGTGCCCCCTCCTCCACATGCCTCCTGCACTTCTATTTGGATTTACAAAACTTTCCAGTGCTTAGCTTTCCTTTCTTGTGCTAGGTATTACCCAGACTACCCAGAAATTTTTTTTTAAAGAACCATGGGGATTAATTCACTTTATTCAAGCTTTTAAAATTGTGATTTATTTATTTATATTTCATATTTCTTAACCACCCATCTCCCTCAGTTTTGCTCTGCATGCAATACATGTTCTGTACTGTATTATTTTATGTGTGTGTGTGTATACATATACATACATACATACATATATATATATAACATAGTGTATAGCTATTGAATGTTTTTGTGTTACTTTTGTAATCATCTCAGTACTCCCAAAAAGTAGGGCACTATTATTTTCATTTAACAGATGGGAAAGAAAAAACTAAGGCTGAAGGGAAAAATGGTTTGTCTAGAGTGGGACCTGCATGTCACAAGTTTGTGAGGAATAAAGTGTCACTTCCTGTGATGTTTCTATTATAATGCTTCCTAAATTCATGCTAGTTTTTTTCCTAGTTACACCACATTGTGGCCCCTGTTCAACCTCTGATCAGCTATTATTTCAAAACTCTCCTTACATCTAATGCAATCAAGTCACGTACTCACCATTATATATGTATGCTTACAAATAGAACTGTATATGCCTTTGTGGAATATGTTCAGTCCAGTGGTGGGTTCCTCCCGGTTCGGCCGAGCCGGTAGCGGTGACGATATGACGTCACCGAACCGGTTCTCCCCCCGCCCTCTCCCCCACGTTATTCTTACCTTTTATTTGGTCCCACCCCCAATCTATTGCTGCCTCCTGAGTCCCAGCTGATGACTAGAGGGAAAAAACTGTTTAAACTCTTGCCTTGGGGCTTCAAAGGGCCGTCCTATAGCTGATCAGTGTTAAAAGCAAACAAATGAGTTGGGTCATAAGTGTGAGGACTGGTCGTAAGTGTGAGGACCTTCCAGAAATGACTCTGACCAGCTAGCCACTCCCACCTAGTCACATGACCCCCAAGCCACATCCACAAAATAAGCCACGCCCACAGAACCAGTAGTAAAAAAATTTAGAACCCACCCTGGTTCAGTCCAGTTTTATTTCTTTTGCTCTGAAGTGTTACCAGTTAGAAATCCACCAAACTCAGTATCAACTTTGGTAAAGATTGGCTTCACCTTTTTTATCTAAGTTATTGATAAACTTACAGGAAAACACTAGGCTTAATGAATTTCTCTAAAGTTCTACTAGTTCCTCAGTTCTCTGCCTTAATTTTACTATAACTAAATCAGTAAAATTAAAGATTTCCCTGTCAGTCATGTCCGATGTTAGGGCATGGTGCTCATCTCTGTTTTTTGGCTGAGGTAGCCAGGGTTGTCCAAAGACAATTTACGTGGTCATGTGTCCAGCATGGCTGTACGCCAAAGGCACATGGAATGCTGTTACCTTCCCTCTTAGGAAGTACCTATTTATCTACTCACATTTCCATGCTTTTGAACTGCTTGGTGGGCAGGAGCTGGGGCAAGTAATGGGAGCTCACCCATTACTTTCAGCCCTTTAAAGCTCCAGCTCTTTAAAGCTCAGCGTCTTTAAAATTAATAGGACTGTGTATTTTCTTGCAGTGGCATTTACAGCTCTGTAATTTAAAGCCCTTGTTCTTGAGGATCGTAAAATGTTTCAGGTATGTTTTGCCATCTTCTCCGAATTGGAGAGCCTCATTCGCTTGCAGTTTGAAGGTAACGGTATTGGTCTACCACACGGGACCATTGTAAGGATTATAATAAGCTAACATGATATGTTTAGAACTCCCAGAAGAGCAAGGAGGAGATAATTTCTCTGGGTTAGTTTTAAAAAGCTCCATAAAGTTACTAGGCTATAAAAATGGTTTATCCCTCTCCCAGAAGGCTACTAATCCATGTTTCCATAGTAAAGCAGAAAGAAAAATGTTTTTGAAATGCGGCATTAGCAAGCTGATTGTTGTTGCTTTGTTCTGGTATATCTTAAAGTTGCTTTCTCATAATCTGGCTCTGCCAAGGCAGCTGGCAGCACTAGCTGACCTTGACTGATCTAGAAAGCAAAACAGGGCCAGCCCTGCTTGATAAATTTGGATGCTGAATGGCTGGGAGGTCCAGGGCTGACAAATGGACCTGGCTGGTGTAAGACAGAATCCCAGAAGGTGTCAAGGGCTGATTTATGAGCTGTTGCCAAGGAAACTGCCTGATGTAAGTCACCACAAATCAAGCTCAACTTGATTGAGACTTTACTTAATGATGCAGCAATAGGGTATGATGAACAGAAACATGTCACAGCAGCTGCCTTAATTTGTGGACTACAGGGGGTCCTCGATTTACAACCATTCATTTAGTGGCCGTTCATAAAGGCGCTGACTTAATGACCGTTTTTCACACTTGCAGCATCTCTACGGGTCACGTGATCAAAATTTGGATGCTTGGCAACTGCCATGCCGGTTGCTGTGTCCCGAGATCGTGTCAATCCCCTTTTTGCGACCTTCTGACCAAGCAAAATTAGTGGCGAAGCCAGGTTCACTTAACCACTTTGTTACTAACTTCACAACTGCATTGATTCACTTAACAAGTATGGCAAGAAAGATTGTAAAATGAGGCAAAACTCAAATACTGTAACTTGCTTGCTAAGCAATGCTTAGCAGGCTCAATTCTGGCTGTAACTTGAGGACTACCTGTAGTTACAAAGGAAGAAATCCTCTACAGTTTGCTCAGAAATGAACTGGACTGGCTGAGAAGAAGGAGAGAATGCTGTCCTAGAAACTTGTTCAGAATGGAAAACCCTTTTTTTATAATGAACTAACAGAATTAGATAAGATATTAGCAGGGATAGAAGAAAAATTGATAAAGAAAACGTACAGCTACTTATTAGGCATTAATTTGGAAGAACAAATGAAGGAGACAATGATAGTATGGGCAAAAAACTTTGGTTATACAATTGAGTTAGATAAATGGCAGAAACTGGGGGATAGGAACTGTAAATTAACAATGTCAACCGCATACAAAGAAAATTTGTATAAGGTGTTTTATAGATGGCATTTTGCGCCAGGGAGATTGGCAAAGATGTTTAAAGATAAGTCGGCTAAATGCTGGAAGTGCCACCAGATATACCTGGGTCATATTATCATATGTGGTGGACATGCTCAAAAGCAAAAATATATTGGACAAAAATACATACGTGACTGGATATTGATTTAAAGCCAGAAATTTTCTTGTTGGGGATTTTACCCGAAAAATATAGTAAGGGGAATGCATATTTAATTATCCATATATTAACTGCAGCTAGAATTGTACTTGCACAAAACTGGAAAAGTGAAGAGATCCCCACAGATGAGAATGTGGTCAGGAAAATATTAGAATGTGCAGAAATGAATAGTCTTAACGCTAGCAATTAAGGAGAAAGAACAAACTGAATATTACAGTCAGGTCCAGAAATATTGGGACATCGACACAATTCTAACATCTTTGGCTCTATACACCACCACAATGGAGTTGGAATGAAACAAACACAATGTGCGTTAACTGCAGACCGTCAGCTTTAATTTGAGGGTATGTACATCCAACTCAGGTGAATGGTGTAGGACTTACAGCAGTTTGTATATGTGCCTCCCACTTGTTAAGGGACCAAAAGTAATGGGACAATTGGCTTCTCAGCTGTTCCATGGCCATGTGTGTGATATTCCCTCATTACCCCAATTACAATGTGCAGATAAAAGGCCCAGAGTTCATTTCAAGTGTGCTATTTGCATTTGGAATCTGTTGCTGTCAACTCTCAAGATAAGATCCAAAGAGCTATCACTATCAGTGAAGCAAGCCATCATTAGGCTGAAGAAACAAAACAAACCCATCAGAGAGATAGCAAGAACATTAGGCGTAGCCAAAACAACTGTTTGAAACATTCTCAAAAAGAAGGAATGCACCGGTGAGCTCAGCAACACCAAAAGACCCGGGAGACCATGGAAAACAAGTGTGGTGGATGACCGAAGAATTCTTTCCCTGGTGAAGAAAACACCCTTCACAACAGTTGGCCAGATCAAGAACACTCTCCAGGAGGTAGGTGTAAGTGTGTCAAAGTCAACAATCAAGAGAAGACTTCACCAGAGTGAATACAGAGGGTTCACCACAAGATGTAAACCATTGGTGAGCCTCAAAAACAGGAAGGCCAGATTAGAGTTTGCCAAACAACATCTAACACAACCTTCACAGTTCTGGAACAAGATCCTGTGGACAGATGAGACCAAGATCAACTTGTACCAGAGTGATGGGAAGAGAAGAATATGGAGAAGGAAAGGAACTGCTCATAATCCTAAGCATACCACCTCATCAGTGAAGCATGGTGGTGGCAGTGTCATGGTGTGGGCATTTATGGCTGCCAATGGAACTGGTTCTCTTGTATTTATTGATGATGTGACTGCTGACAAAAGCAGCAGGATGAATTCTGAAGTGTTTCGGGCAATATTATCTGCTCACATTCAGCCAAATGCTGCAGAACTCATTGGACGGCGCTTCACAGTGCAGATGGACAATGACCCAAAGCATACTGCAAAAGCAACCAAAGAGTTTTTGAAGGGACAGAAGTGGAATGTTATGCAATGGCCAAGTCAATCACCTGACCTGAATCCCATTGAGCATGCATTTCACTTGCTGAAGACAAAACTGAAGGGAAAATGCCCCAAGAACAAGCAGGAACTGAAGACAGTTGCAGTAGAGGCCTGGCAGAGCATCACCAGGGATGAAACCCAGCATCTGGTGATGTCTATGCGTTCCAGACTTCAGGCTGTGATTGACTGCAAAGGATTTGCAACCAAGTATTAAGAAGGGAAAGTTTGATTTATGATTATTATTCTGTCCCATTACTTTTGGTCCCTTAACAATTGAGAGGCACATATGCAAACTGCTGTAAGTCCTATACCGTTCACCTGAGTTGGATGTACATACCCTTAAATTAAAGCTGACAGTCTGCAGTTAAAGCACATTGTGTTTGTTTCATTCCAACTCCATTGTAGTGGTGTATAGAGCCAAAGATGTTAGAATTGTGTCGATGTCCCAATATTTCTGGACCTGACTGTATATGACATGGGACTTATTTTAATCAATGGTTAGATAACAAAAATGGAAGTTAGAAACAGGGAAACAAAAGAAAAAGATTAGTAAAATAAAGAAGATATGTTAAGAGAGAGAAGCAAATATGATTATTATGTTTAATATTATCATTTTAATACTATAGAATTAATGTTAATGAAATGAATATTGTTGTAAATCTTGATTATCATTTTACAAAGATATTTGTACCCGGACGACAGACTGCTTAATTGAAGATGGAATTATTATATTAAAAAATAAAAAAATTGAAAAGAATGGAAAACCTTTGAAAGAACTTTATCCATGAGAAAAAGCAATTATGGATGGAAGGTGCATGGAGTCAGAACCAAAACTGAGCCAAGTTTTAATTATTTTATAACCCCCATTTATTTTATGATGTTTTTATTCATTGTTATTTTATAATTTTGGTCCAGTGGTTGAGACACTAGGCTAAGAAGCCAGGAGACTGTGGGTTCTAGTCCTAATTTAGGCATGACAGCCTGCTGGGTGACTTTGGGCCAGTCACTCTCTCAACCCAACTCACCTTATAGGGTATTTTGGTGGGGAAAACCGGAGGAGGAAGGAGCTCACCACCTAGAGCTATTTATAAAAATAATAAAGGTGGGGTATAAATAAATAAAAATAGGACAGACTGCGTGTAATCAGATTCCTTTATAGAATTGAAGCTTGATGGAACATTCATATTTGCCTTCGAGAGGCTTGGGAGACGGGGAGGCTGCAGTGTTGTAATTTGTTATTCTTTGTCTGCCAGGCTCTCTTTGTCCTCTTCATTCTGGCATACATTCACATCACCTTCTCCCGTTCCCCCATCAACTGCCTGGAACACGTCCGGGATAAATGGCCACGGGACGGCATCCTACGAGTTGAGATCCAGCGCAATTCCAGCCGTAACCCCGTTTTTCTCCAGTTCTGCGAGAGTGAGAGGTTTCCAGGCATGGTGATTGAGCCTGCTGTTGGGGAGGAGGAGGAAGAGGAAGAGGAAGAAGAAATGACCGTGGAGATGTTTCAGAACAGCTCCATCAAGGTACCATGAGGGAAAAGAATGTTATTTTGTTAATGATTATGCTTTTTCCCATTCACCTTCCCAAACCATGAATATGTTCATTGTTGGCACCAAATGATTGCCCTTTGGCCTGGTCTAATATGGCTAGTATTATGTGTGTGAGAGAAAATTCCTTACATTCTTTAAGTAATTAAATGTGTTTGCTTCCAAATGTTCCTTATGTGCTTTTGTCTCCACTGAAAAAAATCCCCCAATTGTGAATTTCAGTGAGAGGGGAGATACTTCAGCACCTGGTTCATTTGGGTTGCTCCTCATTTCCTTTTAAGCTGTCTTAATATCACTTTGTAAGATGTGCTTGCTGGCAATTCAAAGCTATGGTTAATATAGTTATAAATTATAGTTATAAGAGCTGAGGTGGCGCAGTGGTTAGAGTGCTGTACTGCAGCTACTTCAGCTGACTGCTAGATCAGCAGATCAAATCTCACCGGTTCAAGGTTGACTCAGCCTTCCATCCTTCTGAGATGGGTAAAATGAGGACCCAGATTGTTGGGGGCAATATGCTATTTAGTATACTGTCGATTGTTGTAAGCCGCCCAGAGTCCTCGGAGAGTGGGCGGCATAGAAATATGATTAATAAAATAAATAAATAAATAAATAAATAGTTATTTAGACAGAAACATTCCTGTGGCTAAATGTCTATGGAAGATTCTTAGTTATCCAGGTCATAGTTATCTCAAAGGTGTTGTTTTTTTTTTTCAAAAGGCAACTGGACTGTTTTTTGAGGAAGAGGATGTTTCTCTTCTAATCTAAGAAGTTTTGAGATTCCTGTTGTTAATTGACCCCAAGGAAAACAGTTTGGAAAATGCCATGAGAGTACTTTCTGGAATACCATATAAATAAGAGAAGTAGATTAGAGATGGCAGGCAGGCTGAGTTGCAGTAATGTTTTTGATCATGGCCATACATTTGTCCTCAAGAATAATCAAAAAGCCTTGTTGAAAACGTCCGGACTAAACGTAATTTCTAATGTTTGATTTTCCCCCTTACCAGAGGGATCCCCCTTGTGGAGTACTGTGAAGCCGTTACCATGGCAACTCCACTGTGCTGCACAGTAGAAGCCGTTTTAAGGCACAATAGGCTGTATCTTAACAGAACACACACTCCGAGTGGTCTTACCCCCACAGTATTTTTTTCCAGAGAGTAAGTCATCTGTGCACCAAGTTTGGTTGAAATTGCTGAAGGTGTTCGAGAGTTATGCTGGAAGATACACACACACACACACACACACACACACACAGAGCCATTTTTATATATATATATAGATATAAAGAATGTCTCTGTCAGACTAGTTCATTGAAAAGAGTCAGGATGGTAAGTTGTGAAATATTTAATCTGATAAAAAGACACATTGAAAGGTGACATTTTGTCCTCATATAATCTGCAGAGCTCTCACGTGTAAGGAATGAGGGCAGATCTAGAACCAATGAATAGTTGATTCAGAGAAGTATTTGAGAGAAACGTCCTCCCTGAATGATGAAACGGAAACTGCCTTAAGAGGTGATGGGCTATTTTTTGCTACTGTATTTAAACAGAAGTTCAAAAGGCTATCAAGGGTAAATAGATCCAGGATCCTACATTAAAGGGGTATTAACTGATCCTCCTGGTTTTATACTTCTGGATACAGGTTAAATTTAGCTATCGTAGACCTTCAGCAGACCTCTCTTACTTCTTAAAGGTTGATTTGAAAATGTTTTTTTTTTCTGGGTCTGATTCTGTGAGTCATCATGAACGGCTCTGTTTATTCAATGATAGTATCTCCAACCTCTCCTTTGTAAAAATCACAAACTGTAAAATAAACATATCATAAAACAATGGTACATTGATTTTTTAAAAAACTTTTAAAGGAGTTGAATATGTTAAATGGTTTAGAAGTCTAGAAATGGTAAATTAACAGTCTCTGTATAGCAAACAAAGAACCATTGCAGCTCCAGAGCATTCTATTACTTAGGAGAAAACTGGGATAATTTGTTATTTATGTATATATTGTAGAATTGAACAGTATTAGAATAGAGTAGAGTAGAGTAGAATACAATAGAATACAATAGAATACAATAGAATTCTTTATTGGCCAAGTGTGATTGGGCACACAAGGAATTTGTCTTTGGTGTATATGCTCTCAGTGTACATAAGGAGAATAAAATACATTCATCAAGAATAAAAAGATACAACACTTAGGGGTGAAATGTTCCCGGTTTGGACTGGATTGCCCGATCTGGTAGCGATGGTGGCGGGTGGTTCGGAGAACTGGTAGCAAAAATCCCTCCCCCCCCCCCCATGCCCAGCTGAACTGCACGATCATCAGAGGCTTTTTTTTTTACTTTTGAAAGCATTTTTTTCTGCAACCTCTTGGCCGAAGAGGTGGTAAAAAAAATGCTCTGAAAAGTCTGACGATCCCAGCTGAGTTGCCTGATCGTCAGAGAGGCTTTTCAAAGCATTAGAAAAAATGCTTTGAAAAGTTAAAAAAACCCAAAAAGTTGGCCACGCCCACCCAGTCACATTACCCCCCCCACGCCACGCCCACAGAACCAGTAGTAACACATTTTACATTTCACCCCTGCACTTAGTGATAATCAAGGAAATTGGGAATTGGTTGTTAAGCAGAGTGATGGCATTCGGGAAAAATGTGTCTAGTTACTTTAGTGTGCAGTGCCCTATAGCGTCTTTTTGAGGATAGCAGTTGAAACAATTTATGTCCAGGATGTGAAGGGTCTGTAGATATTTTCACAGTCCTCTTTTTGCTCAATTCTAGAATAACTACAATACAGTACAGTAAAATCAGTCATACAGTGTGTGTGTGTGTATACCGTGTTTCCCCGAAAATAAGACCCTGTCATATTTTTTTGAACCTCGAAATAAGCGCTTGGCTTATTTTCAGGGAGGTCTTATTATTTTGGGGCGTGTGGAGCAAGATGGGGCTCCTCTTGCCGTCTTAACTGATTTCCAGCTCTACGTTTAAATATTTTCGGGGAGGGCTTAATTTTGGGGGGGAGGCTTATTTTAACGCATGCGCTCAAGAGCCCGATTGGGCTTATTATCACCATTAAATGACAAACAGACATGTGGGAGCTGCCACCCATCTAATTCAAGGACAAGTTTTCAAAGCATATGAATCCGGCGGGGTGGAGACCAGCCATCTGAGGGAGGGTGTTCCTGAGGGCAAATGTCCTAGACCCCAGCATGTGACATTGCTTAATTGATTCAGCCTTGGGTCACAAGGCAAAGGAGGAATTCCTATACATCTTAGCTAGGTATCTTGTGATAATTTGTACACCTCTGAGCTCTGTTCTTGTAAACAGCTTGCACTTGAGGTGTCATCTTCTGCATTGCTGCAAAGTGTCTAATGCATCTACTTTAGAGGTCCTCCTCAGTCTGCAGTCAGGGGAACTGCATTACATCAGTTTGATGCTTAGGAAGGTGGTGGCTTTTTGCAAACTGGAAAGCAAGTCAGTCCGTGGCAGTCAGAGGACATAAATAGGAAATTGGGAATGAGCTGCCGATTAGCTCTGAGTGAAATTCTGTGGGGCCTTTGAATCTTTGACATCAAGTTGAGTGCCTGACAGGGATGCTACTTTCTGGACATGGGTCACGATGAAGGTGGCCCCAAAAATGGGCCAGCAATTTATCTGTCCTTTAAAAAAAAACCAGACATTTCCAGTATTTTGGCTCTGAAGTTAGGGACGGTCTCAGAAACTGCCACATCCTGACTTTGCCTAGACCAGAGGTCTTCAAACTTGGCAGCTTTAAGACTTGTGGACTTCAACTCCCAGAATTCTCCAGCCAGCAAAGCAAAGCCGGCTGGAGAATTCTGGGAGTTGAAGTCCACAAGTCTTAAAGCTGCCAGGTTTGAAGACCTCTGGCCTAGACTGAGCATTTAATGTCCTCTTTAAACAGGGCTTCTCAGCTGCTTGCATCCTAAGCTCATAAACAGTTAGGATTTTTCTGCACTTGCTTCTCTTGGCTTTTCAATAGATAAACTTTGTGATTATTTTTTTAAAAAATTGATTTGAATACTAAAAGCAAATGCAAATTTAAGTCAGAAAGACCATGAGAGGGAGAAAGAATAAAAAGTGCAAGGAAAAAAAGTAAAAAGAAAAGTAAAAAAAACAAAGAAATATTTAAAGAAATGACTTCTAGTTGTTAAAAGGCTGTCTATTTATATAATTATTTCCATAACTCATGATTAATGTTTCAAATTTATCTGGACCCTTCATTCATTTCTTGGATCAAAGTCTAATTTAGTTTTTGCCATATACTCCAGCTCTTTAAACTCTTAAGCTTATGGTTGATTTTTCTTTTGTTCAAGAATCGAAGCCCTTGTACCACATAGCTTTTCAAACTCGTTGGCTCTGAAGATCTCTAATAGCCCTAAAGTGTTAAATAGTCAATTTCTGAAAGTGGTTTGAAAATGAGTGAACCTGATGTCCTATAAGCAGGGGTCTCCAACCTTGACAACTTTAAACCTGGGGGACTTCAACTCCCAGAATTCCCCAGCCAGCTTTGCTAGGGGACTTCAACTCCCAGATTTCTGGGAATTGAAGTCCCCCAGGCTTAAAGTTGCCAAGGTTGGAGACCCCGGCTTTAAAAGGTTCCATCACGGTTGTGAGCTGTTGTGGGTTGTCTTCTTTTCCCGGAACTCAAACCTATGGGAAACCGCCGTCCTGTGGTCTGTTTGAGAAGAGTAGCCATTCGAGCCACAGGAGGGTCACTTCCCATCCTCTCCTTATCTGGGGAGGATTGTAGAACCAGTCAACTTGCTCTTTGCTACAGTCATTGCCTCCAATCATTTGGAGACATGCTAGTTTACCATGCTCTCCTAGAATTTGAACTTTGTGATGTCTTTAACTGTCACCCTGTCCTTCAGCTAATTTGGGTTTGCAAGCACAAATCTACCTTTTCCCGATGGGAGGATGGTTGAAAATACGATCTCCTTCTACTCATGAAATACAAAAAAGCTGCAGAACCCATGGAGAAGTCTGTAGGGATTCTCAGTCATCCAGGTCATGGTTGTCCCAAAGGTGCTTTTTCAGGAGGCAACTGGACTTTTCTTGGGTTTTTTTTTTTCTTTTGAAGAAGTTTCGCTTCTCATCCAAGAAGCTTCTTCAGTTCTGGCAGGATAGTGGGGAATAGAAGGATTTATATACCTTGCATTATTATCAGCTGTCTGCAAGGAATAGAAATCTTTCTATTCCCCACTATCCAGTCAGAGGTGAAGAAGCTTCTTGGATGAGAAGCGAAACTTCTTCAAAAGAAAAGGAGCCTTGGTAGTACAGTGGTTTAAAGCACCCTGTTATTAACACAGCTGCCTGCAATTACTGCAGGTTCGAATCTTACCAGGCTCAAGGTTGACTCAGCCTTCCATCCTTTCTAAGTTAGGTTAAATGAGGACCCAGTTTGTGGGGGCAATAAGCTGACTTTGTATAAAAATATACAAAAGTATGAAGGCTATTGCTTAACGCATCGTAAGCCTCCCTGAGTCTCCGGAGAAGGACGGCATATAAATCAAATTTAAAAAAATAAAAAATAAAAAATAATTAAAAAAAAAAAACAAAGTCCATTTGCCTCCTGAATAAGCACCTTTGGGACAACACACAGAAAACAACAGAAGCTTAGCTTAAAAGAGGCGTATATGTTTCTGCTCTGTATGGTTATTGATACCGGTAGGTATCTCTAATTGCTTTAGCAATCCCTATTCAACCTGTAAAACCAGAAGATTTGCTGACTTAAGCTAAATCTCGGAAGCAGGTTTAAACAGGGTGATGAATTATGCAGGGGAAGGAATATATGCAAATTCTCTTTAATTTACATAATTAGGGCACACATGAACTTAAATAAAACTTCAAGGCACGTATTACATAGATGATTAAATCCGGTGAGATCTGAGCAGCGGGAGGAATGTGCATAACGCACACCTCTGATTTATATGATAATTATATGGATAATTAATTTACTTTTCATTTGTCTTGAACCTTCGCATTGATTTATAGGGTGAGGAAGACGTCAGAGTCCACTTGTCCTGTTTTTGATTATGTATAGATGCATTACAACTCCCCCCACCGCCCCGTTATGCTACGTTAATGCTGCAGACTCTCTCTGTGTTCTGGTACTGGAAAGCATAACTCAGCCTCTGGGTAATCTGAGTCATCTGTGCCATATAAATTTAATTTATTAGGGTTGGTCACATAATCCGCTAGTTGTTTAGACTGGATTTGGCATTTTTAGCTACCTATCGAGTCTTTCCCAGGGATAGACTTGAGATAGACAGATGTTGTTTGCTGGTGGTATTGTTACTACTTATTTATTTATTTATTTATTTATTTATTTATTTATTTATTTATTTATTTATTGGTTCGATTTATATGCCGCCCTTCTCCGGAGACTCAGGGCGGCTTACAATGCGTTAAGCAATAGCCTTCATACTTTTGTATATACCTGCTTAGTAGGGCTTTCGGGGCCCCCTAAGTGGTGTTCTTTTTAATACAAAGTCAGTTTATTGCCCCCACAAACTGGGTCCTCATTTTACCTACCTCGAAAAGATGGAAGGCTGAGTCAACCTTGAGCCTGGGGAGATTTGAACGTGCAATAATTGCAGGCAGCTGGTGCTACTTAACAGTGCTTTAGTCTGCTGCACCACCAAGGCTTACTATTACTATTATTGTTATTGTTATTGTTATTATCATCATCATCATTATCATCAGTGTTTCTCAACTTTGGCAGCTTGAAGATGAGTAAACTTCAGCTCCCAGAATTCCCCAGCCAGGGGAAAATCTGGGAGTTGAAGCCCACAAGTCTTAAAGTTGCCAAAGTTGAGAAACACTGATAAATGTTGTTGGTGCTTAGCTAACCTTTTTCCAGAGATGCTATTCAGCATGTTCTGACCAGTTCTGAAGAACTGGTAGTGGAAATTTTGAATAGTTCGGAGAACCTGTAAATACCACCTCTGACTGGCCCTACCCGCATCTATTCTCTACCTCCCGAGTCCCAGCTGATCGGGAGGAAATGGGGATTTTGCAGTATCCTTCCCCAGCCACGCCCACCAAGCTACACCCACAGAACTGGTAGTAAAAAAAATTTGAATCCCACCACTGCCTTTTCCCCACCCTTGTAGTTCATTTCAGTTGCTTATGTCTGGGCCTGCTACTTGTAGTTTGTGACATAAAGTTACCTGTCTGTTTTTCATTGTGGTTGTTGCCTTTCTTTTTCTAGCTTATTGCAAGATCTCCACAATCAGTATACTCCTTTAAGTATGTTCCTTTAAGATACTACCTGACCTCATCCTGTGTGAGGAAAAAGTATATCAAGAGTTGGTTTGAACCTAATTAAGGGCTTGCCTTGCATGGCAAAAACCTACCTCCGAATGGAAAGCATCTTTTAGGAGGAACTTCCTGATTGAACTCAATTTACTTTTTAAATTCATTTCCTTTTCTTCATATAATTCCAATATATTCTTTCCGATAAGCTTCGAGAGAAGAGATTAAAAACCGGTGCCGTGTTACCACCGCTGTTTCAATTTTCAATGCTAAATGACAACCAGCAATAAAATACTGCCGTGTGAATGTTTATGATCCCAATGGTAGATTTATGTCCTCTGCAATACCTTTCCCTTTTCTGAATGAAGAATATGTGGTGTTTCTAGTTTGCATTTTTTTTAAATTTGATTTATATACCGCCCTACTCCCGAAGGACTCAGGGCGGTGAACAGCCAACAATAAAATACATACATACAAAATTTAAAAAGCAGAGATAAAATCAAATTAAATAGTTTGGCCCAGACAAATTTAAAACCCAATCAATTTAAAACAAATTTAAACTTTGAATATTAAAAATACTAAAAAATATTAAAAATATTAAAAATGTTTAAAAAGAGGGAGAAAGTTAGGCCAGGCCCGCCTGGTGAAATAAAAAAGTATTTAGAGTGCGGCGGAAGGTGCGCAGATCCGGGATCCTCTGTATCTCTGGAGGGAGCTCGTTCCAGATAGTAGGTGCCCCCACAGAGAAGGCTCTCCCCCTGGGGACCGCCAGTCGACATTGTTTGGCCGACGGCACCCGGAGGAGCCCCTCTCTATGAGAGCGTACCGGCCGGTGGGAGGCTATTGGTGGCAGTAGGCGGTCTCGCATTTTATATCGAGTACCTCAATACTCATCATTAATTGGTTCCAGGAGGCGCAATGGCTAGCAAACAATTTTTTCCCTTAAGGAATAACATAGTGAGTCACAAGGCAGCCAACACTGACATGTTTTTATTTATTTTTTTATTTTACTTCAAATTTATATACCGTCCTTCTCCCTAGGGACTCAGGGCGGTGTACAGCCAAGTAAAAACACATAAATACATAATACATAATACATAAATTCACGTTCTAGCCTGTATGTTGAGTATCAAACAAACAATGAGTATTGGGGCAAATTTTTTGTGTCAAAATGTGTTGAGCACCAAATTCAATGAATTTCAAAATAGTTGAGTACCATGGTACCACTGTATACGCAGTCCTCAACTTACAACAGTTCATTCGAAGTTACAACGGCACTGAAAAAAGTTACTTATGAGCATTTTTCACACTTTCGACCATTGCAGCATCCCCAGGGTCACATGATCAAAATTCAGATGCTTGGCAACTGGTTCACTTCGATGACCGTTGCAGCATCCTGGGGTCACGTGATTACATTTTGCAACCTTCTGATCAGCAAAATCAATGGGGAAGCCAGATTTGTTTAACAACCGTGTTACTAATATAACAACTGCACTGATTCAATTCACAACTGTGGCAAGGAAAGGTCGTAAAATGGGGCAAAATTCGCTTGAGATATGTCTCACTTAGCAAGAAAAAATTTTGGTCGTAACTGTGGTTGTAAGTCAAGGACTACCTGTATCTGATTTTACACTGTTTTACTATGTTTTACGAATAGTCCTTGTTTAGCAACCATTTGGTTTTGATGACTTGGTCAATAAGTGAAATGGTTGCTAAGTAAACATGTGAGAGACTGTGAAGATCACTGGCTGCTGCCATTTTCTTCAGATGAGACAACGTCCTATGCCTGATCCTTTTTTCTCCTTTTTTCCTCCTTTTTTCGCCCCCGGACAGGGCAGAGGGATTACTTATACTTATATCTCTTCCTGAGCTGCTTATTTCTGCAACATAACCTTTCCCTAAAGTTCACAAACTCAGCTGTGTGAACTATCTTAGTTGATTAGAATTGTAACTGTTGGTAGCTTCTGCCTGAAACTGACCAGACTGTAATCAGTTTCACGCTGACATTGCAGTCAACACGGGCATTGGGCAGAAAATGAACCTTTCATTACCATTTATTACTGTCACATTTGCAAAGGGTCACTATCTGTGGCAGTTGCTGAACGAGGACTACCAGTATTGTAAGCTGCACAGAGATCAGCTGAGCGGTGATTGGCTAAAACATTTTAATAAGTAAATAAATCGGGGTTAAGGGGTGGCAGAGGAGTTGTATACGATCTTGTTCTTCATATTAATTCCTCTGTATGTTTTTTCTTCCTCCTTTGATAGTTTGATCTGGATATTGAACCGAAGATCTTCCACAAGGCAACTCGGCTGAGTAATGCCCACGTTTTGTCTCCCAACGAAAGCCAAGAATTCTCCTTCGGCAGCGAGCCAACCTCTAAAGGTATGCAGCCTCTCAGCGAGACTGTGTCCGAATTTGAGATGCTAGCCAAAGCAGGTAAAGATATGTCGTTCTTAACTTCCCATCTTGTTCCATCTGTACATCATTTTCCCCCCCTTTTTTCATTTCCCCCGCTTGCATCAGTCATTTTTTTTCTTTTGGCATGACTTTTCCCATCCATCTACCACTCAGTCTATGCCAGGGGTCAGCAACCCGCGGCTCTGGAGCCACATGTGGCTCTTTCATCCCTCTGCTGTGGCTCCCTGTCACCAGCCGGCTCCACAATTGATAGGGCTTTCGGTTAGGACAGATAAAGGAAAAAGGACAACACGCTAGGAGGAGACTCTATGGTGGGGGAACCGGACTTCCTGTTGGCTCCAGAATTGAACGGGGGGCTTCTGGTTAGGACCTTTGTGGCTCTTTGAGTGTTTAAGGTTGCCGACCCCTGGTCTATGCTCTCCCCCTCTAGATTTTAACTTGACTTCTAAACTGGCATGTGGGCTAATTTCCTTGGGGAAGTAGTGGACTTGCCAGAGAAAATCCTTCGGCTTGTGGCTCTATATCAGGAGTCTCCAAATTTGGCAACTAAGACTTGTGGACTTCAACTCCCAGCTGGCTGAGGAATTCTGGGAGTTGAAGTCCTCAAGTCTTAAAGTTGCCAAGTTTGGAGACCCCTGTTCTATATGATGCGGAACCTTTTCTGTTGCATTTGTTGATGGAGGGGCACGTATGGAAGGCGGAGCAGTATTGCAGTAGAGAAAATGGCATCGCTTTGGATAAGAAAGCAACATTTGGGGGGTCATTTGTGTCTGGGATCCATTTATTAGTATCCTGGAAAGGCAGGATACAAACTTTTCTTACAGGGATATTTCTCCTCCGTCGGTTATGCTGAAACATTCTTATTTTGCACCTTAAAATAACAATTTGATGGATGAAATAAAATGCTATGCCTCACACTGAATACTGTACAGGTAGGTAGTCCTTGACTTACAACAGCTCATTTAGTGACTGTTCGAAGTCACTGAAAAAAGCGACCTACGACCATTTTCCCCACTTATGACCGTGGCAGCATCCCCGTGGTCACATGATCAAAATTCGGATGCTTGACAACTTTTTTACATTTATGACGGTTGCGTGATCTCCTTTCACGACCTTCTGACAAGCAAAGTCAACGGGGAAGCCAGATTCACTTAATCGCGGTGTTACTAATTTAACAACTGCAGCAATTCATTTAACAAACGTGGCAAGAAAAGTCGTAAAATGGGTCAAAACACTTAAGAAATGTCTCACTTAGCAACATAAATTCTGGGCTCAATTGTGGTCATAAGTTGAGGACTACATGTAGTTAGTAATAGTCTAGCCCTATGCCAACGGCTGTGGGTTTTCAGCATACAGATAGTTCTTGACTTATGAGCAGTCACTTAGCGACTGTTTGAAGTTCCAATGGATCTCCCCCCCAAAAGGTCCTTATTTTATTTTATTTTATTTTATTTTTCAAATTTCTATACCGCCCTTCTTTCGGACTCAGGGCGGTGAACAGCCAAGTAAAACACTTTATATACAAAAGTTAAAATAGATTTAAAATAATTAAATAATTTGGCCCATAATTAAAACATTTCAATTTTTTGAACATCGGAACTTATGAACCGGTTCATAAGTTCTGATGCCCCCATGATCACATGACTACATTTTGGGCGTTTGGCAGATGGCCCACATTTTTTGACGTGTGCCACAGCATTCCACTGATGTGTGATTGCAATTTATGATTCCCCCCCCCCTTGAAAACTGGCATTTACATCTGGTTTAAAAAGGCTCCCTTATGGTTATAAGGCAAGGACAACCTGTACTGGACTAGATGCATCTTTGGTCTGGTTAGTTTTAGACTCAGAGAAGGAGCTCTACCTAAATGCTGCTGGATTAAGTTAAGTTATTTTTCACATTTCTGAACCACCCATCTCCCTCAAAGAGAGACTCTGGGCGATGTACAATAAAATTATGGGTGGCAGGACAATGCTGACAATTCAGAAGCATCAGGCTTCATAAAAGATCTGACTTGCTCTGAACAAGCTTCTTGGAAAACCTGTACTTCCACTTGGCACAAAGGAGAGTGTGGGGAAAGCTGGCGGAGATACATAGAATCAGGCAAGGCGTGAATCAGTGTTTTTCAAACCTGTACGGGCGGCAGAACCTGTTATTATAAAAAAAAAAAAAATCCAGAGACAAAAAAACAAAACATCAAGATGTAAAACTCCACTGATGGAAAATTGGCCTTTGCTGAGCTTTGTCTTTCAAGAATCCCTCAAGTACAACATTCCACAATGCTGCGGATCCCAATTTGAAAAACCCTGGCCTAGATAGAACGGAGAAGGATAAATTTTCCTTTCCCCCCTCATAGTGCTAGAATTCAGGGACATCCATTGTAGAGGTTCAAGATGGATTAAAGGAAAGTCTTTCACCAAGAAAATAAATAAATAAATAGCTTGAAATAGATCTATACTAGTTTCCTTTTATTTCTTTGTTGGTAAATATAAATTTAACACAAAAAATAGTTTGTCGCGAAAGCGACTGCCTGCGAAAGCTCCTGGATTGGGGCTGAAAGGCGAAAGCAGAAGCAGTGTGCTGCGTCCCATATTTTGTTAGACCAGATTGCTCTGATAAAAAATACTTTTTCACCCAGATAATTTAACTGTCAACTTCACTTCAATTCAAATCTTTATTGTCAGTGCACAACATATGTACAATGAGATTGGTTGAGCTCCCTCAGTGCACCCCTAACACAATACAACTCACAGTGAAGACAAAAAATCCCTAACCCAATAAATCGTATTAACAAAACGCCCAGTACTATTGCACCAGTGTGAACATGTTACACATTGCGCCAGCCCTGCAGTCCATCATACTACGTAGTTACGATGTTATTTCTCATTCAGGAGTCTGACAGCCCACAGATAAAAACTGTTCTTCAGCCTATTTACTTTGCCGCTTAGTGTAACAATGACAGATAATTTGGATGGCTGTGACGAGAGAATGGTGAGGTTCAGAGAAGACCAGTCTACCAAAGGTTACAAACAGTGGTGGGCTGCTGCCAGTTTGGACTGGTTCAGGCAAACCGGGTAGTTCCGATGATCAGCTGGCCCCACTCACCCGTCCCTGCCCTATCCTGTCCTATATTTTCTTCTTCCTGGCTCAGCTGATTCGCGCGGCACAGCTGATTTCTGCGCTTCCGCTATTCTGTTTATCGGGGCTTAGAAGGTAGGCAGCTAAGCTTCAAATTGCTGTATTTTGAACGCTGCGCGCAAAGCACGCGCTCACAGAACCAAACCGTTGTTAAACTGGTTGCAGCCCACCACAGGTTACGAATACAATTGTTTGCTACTACTTGGATCAGAGGCATCATACCTTGTGCAGGTAGTTCTCGACTTACAACAGTTCACTTAGTGACAGTTCGACAGTTCAACAGCATGGAAGAAAGTGACTTAAGACCTCATCGCCGCATCCCCCATGGGCATGTGATTAAGGCAACTGACTCATATTTATGACTGTTGCAGTGTCCTAAGGTCATGTGATCCTCTTTTGTGACCTCTTGACAAGTAAAGTCAATGGGGAAGCCAGTTCCAGTTAACAACTGCAATGTGGCAAGAAAGGAGGTAGAATGGGGCAAAACTGACTTAATAAATGTCTCAGCAACATAAATTCTGGGCTCAGTTGTGTTCATAAATCAAGGATTACCTGTATACAAGTTGCTGAAATGGGGTATTACTTTCCAATATAGGCTTGGGGGAGTCTCAAATGCTGCTGGGTGACACAGTGGAAGGGTTTGTAGCTTGATCCAGCCGGGCTATTCTTATATTCTTACACTCGTGTTTCACTCTTTTTGTTAAGACCTCTTTTTTGTTCAGACACCTGAAATAGGAAGTTTACATTCTTACCTGGTCTGAAAAGTTGTGGCTCATTGCTTCTGAAACTTACCTGAAATTCATGCAAATCCCAGTTTGCATTCCTACTTAGTAAGGGGTACAATAAGTCAGAATATTGGTTAGTTTTGCTTTGACTTTCCCACCATTGGATTCCCCCAAAATCCCTGGACTATTGGATTTGATTATCCCTGGATTTGATTATTTGTCATGCTGGAGTAAATACTCGGAGATCTTGTCCAGTATATATCTATGGGATGAGGATTTGGGAATGGCCAATAGTAGCCTCAGTCTGCAGAAGGAGCCTAATGCTGCAAAATTAGCTCATGTGAATAGTTTAGAGTAAACCAGGATTCTTCAAAACCCCAATTGATTACTTTTTTACTATGTTTATACCAGGGTGGATTTGATTTAAATCGAGTTGATTTAAATCACAATTTAAATCATGATTTAAATCACTAGTAAAAAGGCTTGATTTAAATCAACTCGATTTAAATCATAATTTTTAAAGAGCAACTGTCATTTCTGCTACTCCTTTGACCCACTGTTGACTCAACGATAGTCCCAGTGTTGCAGAATACACAGCCTCATGCTACATAACTAAGCTCCATTTCATGCTGAATAAACTAAATTATTTATGTATCTTAAATAGAAAACTATCTTACGATAGATTTTTACCCCAAAAGTTTTTTATTAAAATAAATCCGATTTAAATCAAAACAATCTGATTTTTTTGATTTTTTTAAAAAAAATCATTGATTTTTATCCACCCTGGTTTATACCCCACTGACCTGCTCAGAAAAAGCCATTGAAGTGGACTTACTTTTTTCAAATGTGCACACCGAAGGAACACAGAAATCAACCAATAAAACACAAAAAATGCAGCCTTTTTAAAAATGTTGCCTGTCCGTGCAATTAGAATGCGCCATCTTGACATCACAATGCCTGCTCTGATTTTCGTTATCGTTTGAATAAACGTTTCTGAACTGCGTCTTTATTTCTTCCATCCTGGCCTTCTAAAACTCTTCTTTTTTTTGGCTGTATTTGTAGTGTGGCCGCAGGAAGAATACATTGTGGAATATTCCTTTGAGTACGGATTCCTCCGATTATCCCAAAGCACCCGTCAACGTCTGAGCATTCCCGTCATGGTGGTGACTCTGGGTAAATTTCTGTTTTACCATTCCATTCTTAACCATTGCTAAGCGTCCAGAAGTTGTGTGTGCTCCAACGCTGGAAGGTTTTAAGAAGAGATTGGACAACCATTTGTCTGAAATGGTATAAGGCAGTGTTTCTCAATCTTGGCAACTTGAAGATGGGTAGACTTCAACTCCCAGAATTCTGGGAGAATTTTCTGGGGAATTCTGGGAGTTGAAGTCCACCCATCTTCAAGTTGCCAAGATTGAGAAACATTGGTAGGGTTTCCTGCCTCAATAGGGGGTTGGCGTAGAAGACCTCCAAGGTCCCTTCCAATTCTGTTAAGAACTCGTAAGCTTAGAAACCGAGATAGAAGAGTTATCAAGCTAATCATCAGACTGTCACAGCATAATATTTTGTTTCGGGTTTTGTTTGGCTATTGCTGTAGATATTTATATGTGCTGCCAGCAAACATTCAGTGCAAGTGAAAATAAACGACAATGAAATATCTCAGCAACGGGAAATTCATGTTTTAAAGCAGAAGGGGTAGTGGTGGGCTTTGCAGGAGTGACAGTGGAAGACATCGTTTCCCCCAGCCTTAAGAATTTCATCTGTCTTTTAAAATGAATGTTATTTTAGTTTAAATGTTTGGCTTACTTAATTTAGGTAATGCTCCCTGACTATCTGGGAACAAAACATTTGCAAGTGATCATTCGTTGCATTCCATGGTTCCCAAACTTATGCAGAAATTGTGAATTTCCACATAACTGTCTCCGTACAGCTAAAATAGCTCATGGATATTTGATATCCTAAGAGGAAGCCCAAATTAAAAATAGAAAATGGGAATCCTGATTCTGTGGCTGCAGAATGGAGGAGGCCAGCATTTTCTTCTTTAGCCATGGGCTTCCCCAACATGGTACCCAGGAATGCCCGCCCCAGTACCCACCAGTCTCCTTATCCTAGCCAATATTGTATCAAAATGTTCTTTTTTTTTTTAAAGAAACAGAAAACTGACATGCTACTAAACAAAGCACCAGCCTTCAACTTCATTTTTGGAATATCTCTAGGCCCCAAGAGATCCCATAAATGTCCTTAGCAAATAAGAAATATGCTTTATTTTCTTTTGAAATGTGTTCCCAATTATCCTCCTGGGATCCATAACTTTTAAAGTTCTCAGTGGGCCAACCAGTCTGAAAAACATTTGAGGCAAGGGTTAGAGTTAATTACTGTATTTTTTTGAGTATAAGACACACCTTTTTCCCCCCTAAAAGAGGGTGGAAATATTGTGCATCTTATACACTGAATATAGCCATTTTTGGCCTCCTGAAGCCCTGCCCTAATCGTCCCCCCCCCCTTTTTTTTTAAATTTGATTTATATGCCGCCCTTCTCTGGAGACTCAGGGCGGCTTACAATGCGTTAAGCAATATAGCCTTCATACTTTTGTATATTTATACAAAGTCAGCTTATTGCCCCCACAAACTGGGTCCTCAATTTACCTACCTAATCACAATGCTATCAGTCTGCTGAGCCACCAGCAGCCAAATGGGCCCGTTTTTCACAAAAACGGTGCGCAGAGGGTTTGGGAGGCCTGCAGAGTGCTTCTGGGGGCTGGGGAGGGAAAAAACACCCCTGTTTTTTTCCAAAAACAGTGTTTTTGCCCTCCTGCAGCCCCCAGGAGCATTCTGCAGGCCTCCCAAACCCTCTGCGCACCCCGTTTTTTGCAAAAACAGGCAACAACCAGGCCTGTTTTTGCAAAAAACAGGATGCACAGAGGATTTGGGAGTCCTGTAGAGTGCTCCTGGGGGCTTGGGAGGACAAAAACCTTTTTTTTCTTACCTCTTTGAAATCTTGGTGCGTCTTATAGTCTGAAAAATATGGTTGGTTGGTTGGTTAGTTAGTTGATTAGTTAATCCTTATGGCTAAATAGCAAAGGCAGAGTTTGCTGCAGGCTTTTTGTCATAGAGTTTTCGCAAGGAAAGAAGAGAAGATAAAATCATTTCCCGTTTGTATGGATATCAGTCTTTCTAGGACCCAGGGAAGATTCAATCATCAGAATTGATTTTATTTCAGATGTGCTCAAAGTCTTACCCCCACTCCCTTTCAAAACTATTTTTCCTGACATTCAGTTTCCATTTTGGATAAGTCTGGCCATTGTTACCTTGCTCAGACTTGATTCTTTGAATCCAATCCAGTTTCTCTTAAGACCAAGACTCATTCATGTTTTCCTTCACTATTACTTATTTAATAAAACAATAAAGATTACAGAATTTTAAACCTACATTCTTAGTGGCAGTTTCTTGAAAATGTGAGGTAACACAAGGTGGTTAAGTCTGCAGATTGACTCCCTCCCTCCCTCCCTCCCTCCCTTCCTGGAAGGTCGAGGCTTCTTCCTTCTTCTAGCTTTTCCTCCCAGTTTTGGGAATTGTAGTCTATACGTTGCAAAAAATTGGCTGTGGTTGAGAAACACCATGTTAGACTTTTTGCATTTAGGGCGTGTGTGAAATTCTGCCTGTGGGTCTTTTTTGCTGTAATTTAACTTAGTCTGCCTTCACCCTTCTTACAGATCCCACCCGGGACCAGTGCTTTGGAGACAGGTTCAGCCGTCTCTTATTGGATGAATTCCTAGGATACGACGACATTCTCATGTCCAGTGTGAAAGCCTTGGCTGAAAATGAAGAGAATAAAGGTTTGGAAAAAGGGCACGTGGGTTTGCAGCATTTAGTACAAACCTCTGCGACATGCTATATTGTTCAAATTGTTGCGGTCTCTTGGCTGCCGCACGTGTTACCGTGTTTTACATTATATGTAAAGTTGTTTTCCCCTGTTATAAGCTGTCCTGAATCACTCAGTAGAGATGGGCAGGTCTAGAAATTGAAGAAATAAGTTAACCCAGAAAACAGAAGCGGGCGAATGTTTGACATTTGGCTGTTTGAAGTGAGAGATGGTCTTGATCCAGTTGCAGGCAGTCCTCGATTTACAACCGCTTGTTTAATGACAACAGCACTGAAAAAAAATTGGCTTACAACCAGTTCTTACACTTTATGACCATCGTAAGATCCCCATGGTCACATGATTAAATTTCAGGTGCTTGGGACATGTATTTATGATGGATCAGGTGATCCCCATTTGCCATCTTCCCAGCCAACTTCCAGCAAGCAAACTCAATAAGGGAAACCGGATTCACTTCACAATCCTGTGATTCCCATAAACAACTGCAGTGATTTGTTTAACAACCACGGCAAAAAAAAAAAAAAAAAGATTGCCAAACTGGGCGCGACTCCCTTAAATTAATGTTGCCTTGCTTAGCAACGGAAATTCTGGTCACAATTGTGATCATAAAGATTCCCCGTTTATCCCTGGAGTGGCTATGTATTTGTGGAACAATATCCCACTGCTTTCATTTGTACAATCGTGGCTGAACCCTTTTTTTTTTTTTCTTTATGACAATGTCAGAATTGGAAGGAGCCTCTGAGTCCAGCTAACTCCCTGCTCTGTACAGGAATCTAAATTAAAGCTGTGGTAATAGATAGTTGGCCAGCACTTGCTTAAGGGGTATGAGTGTAGTTATCTTCTTCCTATTTATAACTTTACTCATCTTTTGCAGACATGAAAGCCTTAGCTATGCTTTCTGGAATGCAGTTCTTCTGCTTGGGCTTTGGGACAGGGAGTTGTGCTTGTTAAATAATCATAGTTAGATTACACTCCCTTGGGGAGGGGACTGCTTTGAAGACTGTCCAGACCCTTCCAGATAGAGGGGCAAGGTTTCAAATTGGTTGGAGAGTGGCTGTTTGGAAAATTATACAGTTGCTGTGTTGTGTCAGCCACTGTTTCTAGAAAAAAAAATGGGAACTTTAGATGCTTGTTTTAAAGCAGAGGTCTTCAAATTTGGCAGCTTTAAGACTTGTGGACTTTGCTGGGTTTTTGTTTTTTTTTGTTTTTGTTTTACATCCCTCTCTTTGCAGATAAATTACAAATAGAGTGTAAGTGCCTGAGTGGCGTAGGAGGCTAATGCCTCCTACGCCACTCAGGCACTTAGGAGGCACTAATGCCTCCTAAGGCAGCATTTAACATCCAGCTGCCTGCAATTACTGCGAGTTCAATTCTCCCCAGGCTCAAGGTCGACTCAGCCTTCCATCCTTTCTAAGGTGGGTAAATTGAGGACCCAGTTTGTGGGGGCAATAAGCTGACTTTGTATAAATATACAAAAGTATGAAGGCTATTGCTTAACGCATTGTAAGCTGCCCTGAGTCTCTGGAGAAGGGCGGCATATAAATCAAATATATATATATGTGTGTGTGTACAGTTAATATTTCGGGTTTCTTCCCGTGTAATTATGAACATATCCCTAAAAGGGTAGAAGCAACGTTTCGACAGAATCTCATCTGCCATCATCAGGCTTATGTGAAGTGTCTTTTGCTGTAACTGCCATAGACTTACATAGAAAAATATATATAAAACTTATAAAAATATAAAATAAAACTTACATAGACAAATATATATATATATATGTATATATATAAATTTTATGTTGGATTTTATGTTATGATTACAGGTAGTCCTCAATTTATGATGGTAAGTCAGCCTGCAATTTGCTTGTAAGTTCTGAGGAACGTAAAGCGGGTTATCATGTGACTGCACCCGATTTTTGTGACCGTTGTGAAACACAAGTGGTCATAAAGCTAAACGCCTAGTCGTAAGTCGAAGACTACCTGTATTGTAAAGTGCCCAGGATCTTTGGAGGTTTGTAGGTCTTATATCAGGGGTCTCCAATCTTGGCAACTTTAAGACTTGTGGACTTCAACTCCCAGAATTCTTCAGCTAGCTTTGCTGGCTGAGGAATTCTGTGAGTTGAAGTCCACAAGTCTTAAAGTTGCCAAGATTGGAGACCCCTGTGTTATATACACAAATATAAATTCCTCTAAAACAGCACAGCAAATGCTTTGCATTCATGGCTCTTTGGTTCACAATTACCTTGGCTGGGAGTGGGCTGATCCCATGGAAGTATCTCAGGATGTGTGGAGATTTTCTTAAGCAAGCCAGCCAGTGTATCAAATATTTATAAAACACTGTTGAATGAATGAATTCCTCCATTCCTTATGTTGTAATGTTTCTCCCCCCCCCCCCATCTTTTTCTTACTGGTGTGACAGGTTTCCTTCGCAATGTGGTATCCGGGGAACACTATCGTTTCATCAGCATGTGGATGGCCAGGACTTCCTACGTTGCAGCCTTCGTCATCATGGTGATCTTTGTGAGTGTTTCCTCTTCTCTTTATTTTTTCCTCAGCCTGAATTGGCGTTTTTTGTTTCCCAGAATGTTCAACCAGAAACCTGGTTTGTGTTTTATGGGCTACATCGGGGTGAAATCCAGCAGGTTCTAACAGGTTCTGGTAGCGGAAATTTTGAGTAGTTCGGAGAACCGGCAAATATCACCTCTGGCTGGCCCAAGAGTGGGGAGGGAATGGAGATTTTGCAATACCCTTCCCCCAGGAGTGGGGTGGGAATGGGGATTTTGTAGTATCCTTCCCCTGGAGTGGGGAGGGAATGGAGATTTTGTAGTATCCTTCCCCTGCCATGCCCACCAAGTCATACCATGCCCACCAAGCCACGCCCACAGAACCAGTAGTAAAAAAAAAAATGAATTTCACCATTGGGCTACATTCCAGCCACAGCATTCAAGGCAGCTTTGCCAGGGATGTAAAATGGTTCTCGGTTCAATACAGGTAGTCCTTGACTTATGAGAGTTCATTTAGGGACTGTTCGAAGTTACAACATCACTGAAAAAATGGTGCCTTATGACCGTTTTTCACATTTATGACCATTGCAGCATCCCCAGGGATGGCAACTGGTTCCTATTTATGAAGGTTGCAGTGTCCCGGGATCACGTGATCCCCTTTTGTGACCTCCTGACAAGCAAAGTCAGTGGGGAAGCCAGATTCACTTAACAATCATGTCACTAACTTAACAGCTGCAGTGATTCGCTTAACCACTGTGGCACAAAAGGTCGAAAATAGGGTCAAACTCACTTAATAAATGTTTCGCTGAACAACAAAAATTTTGGGCTCAGTTGTCGTACGTCGAGGACTACCTGTATCGGGGTTGACCTTAAGTTGGACATTCTTAACCAGGATTGTCTATAACCGGGTTCCCCAACCTTGGCAACTTTAAGACTTGTGGACTTCAACTCCCAGAATTCCTCAGTCAGCAAAACTAGCTGAGGAATTCTGGGAGCTGAAGTCCACAAGTCTTAAATTTGCTTTGCTGGCTGAGGAATTCTGGGAATTGAAGTCCACAAGTCTTAAAGTTGCCAAGGTTGGAGAACCCTGGTCTATAAATCAGTTACTGCGATCAGAAAATGATCCTCTGCATGAAACTGTGCCCACTATCCTTTAATTCAGGACTTGGGAACGATGGCCCTTTTATGACTTGTAGACTTCATGCTGGCTCAGGAATTCTGGGAGTTGAAGTCCACAAGTCATAAAGGGGGCCATTGTTCCCCACCTCGGCTTTAGTTCTCCCAGCTGCAGTTTTATTCACGGTTCTTCTTCTAAGTGTTTTGTAGCCTCTGGCTCTTATCAGCAGCTCTACCAGCAAGGAGAGCAATACAAGATAAAATGTTACGCAGATGTCTAGCATTTACAGTTACACAACCACAACACTGCACATGGCAGATGATAAAAGAGATCAAAGGTTTTGGCCGCCTTTCTGGATGCAAAATTAACAAGAAGAAAACAAAGGCGGTTTAACGACTAAAGAACAACATTATGCGAAAGAAGAGAGAGTGGTTGTAACGAAAATACCCCCAGTGAAATATTTAGGGCTTTATCGAATGCGATACGATGAAGGCAGTTTCCAAAGTGTTTGCTAAAAAATATGCAAAGAAATAAAGCAAGGCCTTGAAAGGTGCAAGAACTGAAGATTTTCCTGGCTAGGACTTACCACAATAGTACTGTAAAAATGAATATATTATCCGAGATAATTAAATCAACGCATGAGTTAAAATCCTGGTTCAGATATGTGAGAGGACTGGTTGCCTGCAAAATGGCTAGCACCTGTCCCTTTAAGAGCTCTCCCTAGCCAGTCCAACAACCTGTATCTATAAAAGATGAGCAGAGAGACAGTTGGGTGTGATGGTATTGGGGGAGTGGGAGTAAGATGGAAGGTGGTTTGTGTTAGTTTGAGAAACTGAAGCAGCCTAAGGCAAATTTACTGTTACTGTTCTCCAGAAATAGGACTCACAAAGAGATGTAGTAGTGCAGGGGTGTCAGATTCGATTTCATTGAGGGCTGCATCAGGGATGTGTTTGACTTTGGGGGGGCGTGGCCACCTTGACATCACTTGTGTTGGGGGGCGTGTGTGGTGGCCCAAGCGAAAACGGGTTCCAGAGCTCCATTTTCAGCTGCGATGGCCTCCTGCCGCCCTCTGCCAGTGAAAACTGTCACTGCGTTCTTTTATTTACCAGCTGAGCTCATCATTTCTGGACTATCAGACTTTCCGTACCTTGCCAAGAATTGTTATCAAAAGCTACTACGCAAGTCCATCCACCCACATTCCTTCACACACTCTCTTTCCTTTCTTCTCTTGCCAGAAAGGTCCGGCACGAACTATTTCAAAATGTAACACTTACTTTTCTTAGTTAGTGAGGTGTTTTATTTTCTTTATAACAAATAAATGAGTTTTATTAGAGAACTTTTTCTTTGGGTTTTATTTCAGAATATTGCAACTTGGAAAAGCCACGACCCATCCTCTAATTAAATCAGGGTGATTGTCCCAGAGCCAAAGATGGGATTAATCAATGCCCTGACAAAAACAGAGTTCGTGCCCCCCCCTCCCAAAACTCCGTTTTCACTGGCACAGGGTGGCAGGAGGCCGTCATAGCCGAAAATTGAGCCTGGGAGGGCCACATGTGGGCTTTCCAAGCTCCATTTTCACTGGCAGAGGCACTGCGGGCTGGTCCTTTGCTGTTTCTAGGGTGGCCCTGTGGGCCAGATCTAAGCACCCCGCAGATTGGATCTGCCCCCCGGGCCTTGAGTTTGACACTCCCATAGTAGTGGAAGAACAGCAGTTGTAGTAGAATGGGGGAAGAGTGGTATAGTAAACTGTGAGTACAAGCCCTGGGAAGGTTGTGCTGATTTTTTCTGGAATTTTGGAGCCCTCTAACCTGGATGTACATAAAAGAACCTGTGACAAAAATGACACCGATTTGAGTCTCAGACAAACAGTTCGCAAGACTGGCAACAAACGGTTTTTCTGAGGATAATAACCCATCTCTCTCAACACGCTAAGAACAAAACTTTGGAGTGGCTAAGTGAATTGTACTTTTCATTTTAATTCTGGAAAAATTAATTTTCATTCCAGATGGCGATTTTTTTTCAGAATTATGAGAGCGCTTTCCCGCTTTTCATGGTTGGCCTTGGGGCTTTCATGCTTTAATGTTTACCCGCCTGTCTCTTTTCAGACCCTATCTGTTTCCATGCTGTTGCGTTACTCCCATCACCAAATCTTCGTTTTTATCGGTAAGTTTTCAAAAAAATCCTCGCTGTGAGTTTCTGCAGAGCCTGCTGTCCAGGTGGGCTTGGAATAAGTATGATGGCGAATTGTGAGCTGTGATGGCGCAGTGGTTAGAATGCAGAATTGCAGGCTGGCTCTGCTCACTGCCAGGAATTCGATCCTAACTGGGCTCAAAGTTGACTCAGCCTTCCATCCTTCCAAGATCGGTAAAACGAGGACCCAGATCGTTGGGGCCAACGTACTGACTCTGTAAACAGCTTAGAGAGGGCTGCAAAGCACCATGAAGCGGTATATAAGTCTAAGTGTTATTGCTATTGCTATGATGAGAGCACTTATCACTTATCCAGGAGCCTGGATAGCTCAACAGACAGAGCTCTGTAATTTAAGACCAGCTGTCTGCAATTAAAGTAAGATCGAATCCCGCCAGGCTCAAGGTTGACTCAGCCTTCCATCCTTTCTAAGGTAGGTAAATTGAGGACCCAGTTTGTGGGGGCAATAAGCTGACTTTGTATAAATATACAAAAGTATGAAGGCTATTGCTTAACGCATTGTAAGCCGCCCTGAGTCTCCGGAGAAGGGCGGCATATAAATCAAATTAAAAAAAACAAAAAACAAACTTAGAAGCCACAAATTCTGGTTCAGTGTTTTGACTGTAGTTTTTAATATAAGGAGGAACTTATTTCAATCTGTTCCATGCCATTAATGTGATTTATTCTGAGTACAGGAGTAATAGTGTTAGGTACAGTGGATACATTTAATTTAAATTCAGTGTAAATGAAAACTGTTCCATTGGCTATTCAGCATGCCAGGCAAAGATTGAGAATAGCTATCAACCTTGAAAACCTGCACATTCTTGGTTCAAACACTGCTATGGTCCATTTGCATCCTAATCCACATTAAATAACTACTCCCCGGTATGCTGCTTGCCATGATTTATTTTAATGTGCAGTCTTGAACGGCACAGCCAAAATATATTTTGTTATTTGTTCATCCTTGAGTGAATCATCATTTTGGCATCCTGGTATTAGATAGCAGCTGGCTGTTTCTATTGGCTCAAAACCCAATTTAGTGATGGAAATTTAATTTTCTACCAGGGAGTAAGGTTGCATTAGACCAAGAGACTCAGCCCTTAGCAGCTTCAGGAAGACTGCAGCTGATGTCTATAAGCAGTCCTTTATACAGATAGTCCTCAACTTACGACCATAAGTGGGGTCAGCATTTCCACTGCCAAGTGGAATTGTTACGTGGAATTGTTACACGAGTCGTGCCTGATTTTATGACCGTTTTTTTGTTGTTAAGCAAATCACTGCAGTTGTTAAGCGACTCCCATCTTCTCCCATTGACACTGCTTGTTGTGAGCCAGCTGGGAAGGTTACAGTTGGCAGTGCACATGATTCTGGGATGCTGCATCCATTCTAAAATAGAAGCCGATTGGCAAGCCCATGAATTTTGATCATGTGATTGCTGGGGGATGCTGCAATGGTGATAGTAAGTCACTTTTTCCCCAGTGCTCTTGTAACTTCCCTGTCACTAAACGAATGGTTTTAAGTCAAGGACTATTTGTAAAGTAGGACAGTGTTTCTCAACCCTTGGCCACTTGAAAATGTGTGGACTTCAACTCCCAGCAATCCCCAGCCAGCTCATCTGGCTAGCTGGGGAATTCTGGCTGTCTGGGGTATGTGCATGCTGGCAATGGCGCGTGTGCCCACAGAGAGTGCTGTGTGCCACCTCTGGCACCCGTTGATGGTTCGTCATCATGGCCATAGGCCAAGAAAAATGAATTTACCTCTTGCCTGACTGCTGTCTTTTGAATTTGGCTTCCTTTCCCTTTTTTCAGTGGACCTGTTACAGATGCTGGAAATGAACATGACAATTGCCTTCCCCGCAGCTCCTTTGCTGACCGTCATCTTGGCTTTAGTAGGTAAGGAGACCTCCTCACTTTAATCCTGAATTGGAAAGAACCCACCACTGTTTCCAATCAGACTTTCCTTGGTTCTGCTTATTTATTTATTTGTTTAATATTTATTTGACAGCTTACTATAGTACAGTGTTTCTCAGCCTTGGCGATTTGAAGTTGTGTGGACTTCAACTCCTAGAATTCAATGCTGGTTGGGGAATTCTGGGAGTTGAAGTCCACACAACTTCAAATCGCCAAGGTTAAGAAAGCTGCTGTAGAATCCTCCTTTCCAACCTACTGAAGTATCGTTCAACTACCTGTCTGCCTTATGTCAACTGCCTTACCCATCATATGGAAGAAATACCTTCTGAAGGACGAGGCAGAGGACTTCCGGTTCTCTGCAGTTATGCAGAGCACGGTCTATGGATTTAAAGCCAGTCTCTCTGTTGCAAAGGTTTTATGGGTGCAAGAAGGCATCGTATTTGTCCCATCTTTGAGAAATATGGAGGGTGATAACCTCTCAGACAGCATGTTGATGTTCTCTTCCTTTTCTTCCCTCTCAAAACAGGCATGGAGGCCATCATGTCCGAGTTCTTCAATGACACCACCACGGCCTTCTATATCATCCTCATTGTGTGGTTGGCAGACCAATACGATGCAATTTGCTGCCACACCAACACAAGCAAGAGGCACTGGTTGAGGTACGAACCTGGGACTGGGCTCAGACAGAGACAGGCCAGTGGATTCCCTGGACCAGAGATGGCAACCTTTGGGAAGCAGGGCAGGGGGGGGGGCTTTTAAACCTTTTTGGAGGTGTCAGAATGGGCAGGATAGATAATCTATTGTACCTAAGGGCTCTTCTAAAATATTTTTTTTATCTCGCCTTTATTATTTTTTTAAATAGCACAAGGCAACAAATACACATAATACTCCTTCCTTCTCCTATTTTCCCCATAATTAACAACCCTGTGAGGTGAGCTAGGTTGAGAGAAAGAGATTAATCCAAAATCACTCAGCCGGTTTTATGCTTAAGGCAGGACTAGAACTCATGGTCTCCAAAATCACCCAGCCGGCTTTCCTGCCTAAGGTGGGACTAGAACTTATAGTCTCCTGGTTTTTAGCCTGGTCCCTTAATCACTAGACCAAACTGTCTTTTAGGGTCTTCCAGAAAAGCAACTTAAGGAGTCACAGAATGGCCATTCCCAATTTAGGCCAACAGTTAGTGTTGGCAAACCTTTTTGGCACTGTGGGAGTGCCGGAAACCGGAAGAGCACTCGCCTGGTGTGCACATTCCAGCGCATGCATGCGCACCAGCCAGCTGGTCTTCATGTGCACATGCGTGGCAGAAACTGGAAAGCCAGGTGGCCAGTGTACATGCGTACACCGGAAACTGGAAGATTATCTTCCCGGTGCGTGCCTGCACACCAAGCAGCATGTTCTTCCGGTTACTGGTGCTCCCATGTTGGCTCTTGCGCTGGCCGGTGCGCCGGAACCCGGAAGAGCAATGGGCGACAGCTCACGTGCCTGGAGAGATGGCTCTGTGTGCCACTTCGGCACGCGTGCCATAGGTTTGCCATCACAGACTTAGATATTCAGCTGACTCCGCTTTGCCTGACGGCTTGTATGTCTTTAGGGTCACACATTGGGCTCATTTTTTTTTCCAGATTGGAGATCTCCTGACAATCTTGTTGATATAGTCCTTCCAGGGCCAGTTTGACTCCTTAAACCCCTGCCACTCCAGCATCTTCTCCCAACCACCTTGATGGTGGCAGAACCACCTTCAGTGGCATCATTGCCCTTCCTCTTCCCTGGTTCTCATCCCTCACTGATTATAGGACCAGGCTGTTTCTCTCTTGCAGTTCACTTTTACGCTCCTTCTTTGAAGCGAAGGGATGGGTGGGGGGATATACAGCTAATTGTGTTCAGAAAGGAAGGATGGAAGCAAACCGGGGATTGTGTAACTATTGTATACAAATGTGTGTGCCTGCATATTTATATTTCTGTCTCTCTCCAGGTTTTTCTACTTGTACCACTTTGCCTTTTATGCCTACCATTATCGTTTCAATGGGCAATATAGCAGTTTAGCCTTGGTAACTTCGTGGCTTTTCATACAGGTACGCTTCTGGCTCTAAAAAGGTCCTACAGCATTGTGTAAACCCCCAAATCATGACAGACTTCAAAAGATAGAATCCCTTCTCCAATTTAGCCTCCCCGAGAAAATACTTTTTCAGACATTGTTTGCCAAGTTTCTAGTCCTTTTGCTTTCAAGTCTGTAAATAACACAGACTTGAAAGCTCAGAAATTATTCAGGTATCATTTGGTCTTCGTGAATATCTAGACTTTTGTAAAAGATAAAATCTGCATTGTGGAACACAAAAAAGCAAGGCAGTGGTAGCTGGTAGAGAATTTTCTGGCTATGATTTGCCCCATCTTAGCCAGAAAATTAGTGGTTTGCACTGGCTGTGCTGCTTTCATTTTGAGAATCTCTGCAGGGCCAAGAGAACAGCTGGCCAGGGGGGCATTCAGGAAAGATGGTCAGGATTGCAGGCTTGTGGTCTTGCTTTGCTGACACGGATCCCACTCTGTCTTCACCAACTGCCTTTCATAGAGTTGGAGCAGAAATGGGAAAGGTGCATTTTGCCAATTGATGGTAGGTTTCATGCAGGGAAGGGAATTTGGCCTTTCCCAACAGCATCTGAGTTACTTGGATGGCAGATGATGCACAACTACTGTGATCCCATCTTCATTTTCAACAGCACAAGGTGGCAGATGTAACGCTCCTGCCTGTTATTTTCCCACGAGAACAGCCCTTTGAGATGGGCTGAGCTGAAAGAGAGGGACTGAGCCAAAGTCACTTAGCAATAGCAATAGCGCTTACACTTGTATACCGCTTCACAGTGCTTTTGCAGCCCTCTCTAAGCAGTTTACAGAGTCAGCCTATTGCCCTCAACAATCAAGGTCCTCATTTTACCCACCTCGGAAGGACAGAAGGCTGAATCAGTCTTGGGTCAGTCAGGATCGAACTTCTGGCTACGGGCAGAGTTTGCTTGCAATACTGCATTGTAACCACTGTGCCACCAGGGCTCCTAAGAAAGCACTTAGCTGGCTTCCTTGCCTAAGGAAGGACTAGAATCCCTTCTCTCCCAGTTTCTAGCCCAGCATCTTAACCACCACACCATATTCTCTTCAAAGCTTGAGGAGGAGCAATTGATTTATACATTTGGGTGGGGGGAGGAGAGAGTGAAAGGGAGAACTTTCTTGTTCAGCCCAATCATTAACACTTTTCCTCTCTCCTGCTCCTCTCTTCCGCTCCCCTCCCTGGCAGCATTCCATGATCTACTTTTTCCACCATTACGAGTTGCCAGCCATCCTCCAACAGATCCGGATCCAGGAGATGTTGCTCCAGAACCAGCAGGTGGGAACCCAGACCGCTCTCCAGGACAACCTCAATAACAACACGACCGTCGCGGCAACCAATTCAGCCGACCAGCAGCCCCACCTGGACGCCAGCCCGGCTGGGGCAGGAGATGGCTCCCTGGCTTCTGGGGAAGACCACAGTCCCCTGGCCTCCAGCCCTGGCATCTCCCTCGGGAATGACTTGAATTGGGTGGCCGAGACAGCAGCTGTCATCACAGAAGCCTCCTTTCTCTCCAACCTAGGCGGTTCCTTTTTGGACTCCAGGGCCACTCCAGCAGTTGTAACCAGTGATGGGAGTTTGCAGGATCTGGAGCCTGCTTCGAACATGGTGACCCAAAGTTTGGTTAGTAGCGACCGTACGGAAGTGGGCTCCGTCACTCTTGAGAGCACGTCCACCATTGGGACTTCTGTGACCAATATACCTCCTCCCGTCACGGCCCATCCAGAGCTGGAAGATACTCCCCAGCCATCAGAGAATTCAGCAGGCCGAGCTGAGCCTCTGAAGACAGACTCCTCGCAAGGTTTGGCTTTAAGGGGATTCTTGAGTCAGGCCTCTGAAGGGCATGCCCAGAAGGATCCCACACCGCTTTCCCCAGAGAATAGGATCTCCTGATCCCACGAAGCCGCTGCTTCTCCCAAACTCCTTAACTCCGTTAGGAGACTGGATGGCTTTCCGATTGCATAAATTTGTTTTCCGTACCAAATTCCTCTTTTTGCAGAAGAAAGAGGCAGAGCTAGAATGTAAAATGAAGAGCAAGTCATCTTTTTTCTCCCGCCTTCCAAGTACCAGGAAAGAAAGAAAAAGAAAGAAAGATAGGAAGGAAGGAAGGAAGGAAGGAAGAAAGAAAAGCTGAATAAAAAGAAGGGGAAGCGATTGTAGATGTCGGTCCCTGCGTCGGAATCGAATCTTTTCGAAAGAAGCGGTTTCTGCATCTTTCTCGGTGAATGGCGTTAAGCCCCAATTTCTCGTCTCCGCCCCCCCACCCTCCATTTCCCAGACTGCATGGAATCATGGGACTCCCTCTGGGGATCTGCGGGAGATCTTACTTTGCATTTAGATCCTTGTGTTTGCATTCAGTTTTGTCCAAAAGGGTGCTTAGAAACACCCGGGGGGGGGGGGGGGGGGGAAAAGAAAGAAAAGAAAAGAAAAAAGAACGGGGTATCATGACAAAAGTTGGTTTTGGATGCACCTTGGAATTGGGTGGATGGATTATAAAGACCAGAATCATCGGTGTGGGTGATTATAAAGAGAAATTGATCTTTAAGCAGAAGGCAGAGCATCAAAATTTGGCATGAACTGGTTCCAGAATGATCGACGGGAATTGTTGTTTGAAGGGTCTAATACTTGAGTCCTTAAAAAAAAAAAAATCCTCATTTTTTTTTTAATCATTTGGACTACATCTGCTTATGTACAAACACCATGTTAATTTCTCTTTCTCTTTTTTTTTCCCCTAAAGAGGGCTGTAGGGGATTATTTGAATAATAACGACAGGCTTGGGGGGTGGAAACGTGTCTTGTTCCATCCCCTCACCCCAATCCTTGAACCCAGATCTTTGATAACTTGAGAACAAGTGACTCGCTCCTTTGTGAAGGTGGGCCTGCCCCAGTGAAAAAATCGAAAGCTTCAGCTCGGTTGTCCTCGGCAGTGTTACCTTAACCTTAAGTTGTTTTCCGCCCCATTTAGCCTCCCAAGTGGAAGGAGTCCAGCGATTGGGTGAAGACAAAATGAGCGGGAACTCTTTGAGATTGTGGCCCCTTTTGCACTCGTGCGAGGTGAGCTGGATGGACAGAGAAGCTCAGAATCTGCTTCGGCTGGTGCAGGTTAAACGCTTTCAAAGGCCAGGCAAAGTTCAAAGAGAAGGCAAAAAAATGGACTGGGCACCATTTTGCAACCTTGGCCACTTTTAAGACGGGTGGACTTCAACTCCCAGAATTCCCCAGCCAGCTAGCTGGCTGGGGAATTCTGGGAGTTGAAGTCCACCCGTCTTAAAAGTGGCCAAGGTTGAGAAACATAACCTTAGAGCCAGACTGAGGAATGGCTGAAAAATGAGTTTTTCTTTCTGTCAATTCATCTGAAGAGTTCCCATTAGCTGCTGCTTGTGCACTTTAATGAGGATGATTGCATTGTCCGGTGGACCGGATTTCAGCCACCGCCGCCCCCTTTTTTTCAGCGCGATGCCTTTAAATTGAACACAAGGAGGAAATCGCTTCCCCAGCACGACCGCGACTGGTGTGTGTGTGTGTCTGTGTGTGTTTCACACTTCTTCCTTCCCAGAATTACCCTTCTATCAATTGGGAGCAGCCATTCGGCAGCCGGCTTTGGATTGTGGTTCCCGAGTGCCTTCCCTAGATTTCCCCCAAATCTGGCAAGAGGAAGGACTGATTGGGGAGAGGAGGGGGGAGGCTGGGTTTGAGCAGTAGGATGCTGAGCGGACCCCTGCGTTTCTGACCCCCACCACTCCCCTCTATGATCTTCCGCGTAAGAATCAAATCTCTCGGACGGGTAACCTGATGTTGCGTGCCACCGAGGAGAGCGGCTGATGGGAGATCAGTCTGGGGTGCAAGGCTTGGTTTGGAAATTAAAAAAAAAAAAAAATAAAAATGGCAGGCCAGCGCGTCCCTTACCCCCACTCCCCCCCAAAGGAGGATGGCCCATTCTTGTGCAATAGATTACTTGAGTTCTTGGGCCGTGTACCGATTCTCTACCTGGATCGGTCACCGAAGACGCTCGCAGCCGGTCAGACTTTGGGCCTTTCTGCTTTTGAGGGGTTTTTTTTGGCGGGGGGGGAGACAAAATTTGGATGGAAGAAAGAGAATCAAAACTAAATCACACGAATAGAGTTCATTCTGTTTAATGTACAAAATGTTTGTATGTGTGTACATATATATATATATATAGTATATATACTGTATAAATACTGTATTTAATCGTTGTTTGTTCCTTCTCCTTTCCTGGTCAAGTTATACCCTTTGAGGGGGACACACGGGGAGGGGGGGGTTTACAAGGGCCAGCGCTATAGCAAAACGCACAGGAACCAGGAGAGGTTCAGCTGCTCCTGGTAGGAAGATCTCTTCAAGAGAGCTACATTTTCTTTTACAATTCTTAATATTTCACTTGTTCTGGCTGGTGTATTTGACCATCCCTGAATGAATGGCATCTGCCACCCCCTGCTCAGCATTGCTACTCTTGGCCTCCCAACTAACGCTCCCCCCCCATCTTGGAATTCAGTCCCTCTCCAGAGGTCGAGAATAAGACTCAGAAAAACAGGACTTCCTGGGTTTACCAACAAGATTGCCATTTTAACGCGAGAGAAACAGGACATTTCTCTTGTTTTAATTCGAATTAGAGCAGATTTAATGTTTGCACTGGCTTCACCCATCCATGTCTTAGACTGGCACCATCTCTCTCGGAGGCCTGGCCCAGCCTCGCCACTAAAAAGGTCAAATGGGACTTTCAGCTCGCAATATATTGCCAACTCCTGCTCGAGAAGCCATGTCACTGCTCTTAATATGAAGTCATCACTCCAAAAAGACTTCTATTCATCAGTTCACAAAATATTCCCTGAACTGGAGAATTCAGCTGAGTTTATTTTTCCATTCCCCATCCCAGATATTGGAGCTGTGAGAATATAGGATCGTTTGGGGACGAGAAAATCCAAAGCAAAGTTTGAGTTTCCAGAATGTAAGAAAGTAAAAAAACCCCCCATTATTTTCTTTTTCTAAAAGTGAAAACGTTTTAATTCCTCTTTTGTTTCTTAGTCTATTACCCATCTAATTTTGTTTTCAAGTAAATAAAATGGCGAGGACAGGGTTTTTTTTATATATATATAAAAACGAACAGTAGCTCAATTCAGCATTCTCCCAATTCCTTCCCCCTCTAGATCTGTGGGACTACACTTCCCATCATTTCCCAAACATTATGGGCTGGCGGAGATGGAAACGGGGGTCCAGTACACCTTGAAGGGCATCAAAATTTCAGAAGGCTGCTCTGCATATAACTGTAAAAGACCTATTGCAATATCTGCCAACTCACCTGAATTTGCACTGCCCAAAAACAAATGCCAAAAGGAAACCCCTATGTGGCTGATGATATTTAAACTTTGGTTTCATATCCAAGCACCATCCCAGCTTTAATTTTCAGCAAATTCCTTTTGAAAAACTCGGCTTCGGGATTGGTACTTGGGGTTTAAATGCATTTATTTGGTTTTCAATTTATTTGTAAGATTTATAAACTGCCTCATGCTAGATCAGGGGTCTCCAAACTTGGCAACTTTTAAGACTTGTGGACTTCAACTCCCAGAATTCTGGGAGTTGAAGTCCACAAGTCTTAAAGCTGCCAAGTTTGAAGACCTCTGGCCTAGACTGAGCATTTAATGTCCTCTTAAGAGGCCCTAGGGAAACTCTCAGGCACACTGGATGTACTTCTTTGGTTTCCAACCCCTTCATGTTTTATGAAAGAAAAAAAATACTTTAAAAGATTATTGTTCTCGCCTGCCCTACCAGCATAACCTTGGTGTTATGTATATGAAGTAGGACTGTGCAGAGCTGAATTCAAATTGCAAATGTGTTAGTAGCACGCACATCACACCTGCTGGGAAGAATTAAAGCATTTGCACTTTGCCCTGGACTGATGTGATTGCTCACTCCTGCTGCTGTGTAATTGTGAGAAAGGAGACCTTTAGCATAAGGTGACCCTGATAAAGGCCTACACAACGACTCGTGTGTGCTCTGAATTCAGATTTTGCCCTTTAACTGGAGATCTACACAGCTGCAATACGAATCTGGCATTCTAATGATGGCTGTGCATGCCAAGATGGTTTAGTGTCTATCACAGGTTTGTTTCTCTTGCCCAGAATGAAATACAACCCCCATTTAAAGAAAAAGAGCTGATTTAATAGGACAGTTTTAGGAAAGGCAGAGTTGAGATGGATCTCTAGCTCAATACAGGTAGTCCTTGACTTAACGTCCATAACTGAGCCCAAAATTTCCATTGCTAAGCAAGACAGCTGTTAAGGGAGTGTTGCCCCATTGTAGGAATCTTTTTTGCTACAGTTGTGAATCACTGCAGTTGTTAGTAACGTGATTGTTAAAATCTGGCTTCCCCATTGACTTGTTTAACACAAAGTCGCAAAAGGTGATCACATGACGCCAGGACCAGTGGTGAAATCCAAATTTTTATACTACCGGTTCTGTTGGCATGGCTTGGTGGGCGTGGCAGAGGAAGGATACTGTAAAATCCCCGTTCCCACCCCACTCCAGGGGAAGGATACTGCAAAATCCCCATTCCCTCCCCACTCTGGGGCCAGCCAGAAGTGGTATTTGCCGGTTCTCCAAACTACTCAAAATTTCTGCTACTGATCCTGCAGAATCTGTCAGAACCTGCTGGATTTCACCCCTGCCCAGGACACTGCAGCTGTCATAAATATGAATCAGTTGGCAAGCATCTGAATTTTGATCACGTGACCATGGGGATGCTGCAATGGTCGAATGTGTGAAAAATGCTCATAAGTCACTTTTTTTCAGTGCTGTTGTAACTTTGATTGGTCATTAAATGAAGGACTCCCTGTATTTTCTGCTGTCAGGGCTATTTAAAGACAAAAGTCATCTATCTTTTTCTATTTGTAGCCAAAGGATGCAGGAGTCAATTCAATGCAACATTTTTGGAGGGGCTGCCATTTTAGCTCTTTGCTCCAACTCCATGAGTTGGAGATGGCAGCTCCCATAATCTCAAGCTTTGAATGGGGGTTCTGAGATTTGTTCTTCCATAATATTAGGAGAAGATCCCAGGAGACCTTATACCACTCCCGACAAATGGCTGTCCAGTCACTTCTTAAAAACCTCCTCCAGTGACGAAGCACCCATAGCTTCTGGTGGCAAGCTGTTCCACTGATTAATTGTTCCCCGTCAGGAAATTTCTCCTTAGTTCTAGGTTGGGTTTCTCTTTGTTAAGCTTCCATCGGTTCCAGGAAAGCTGGCCCATCTTTATCATCATCCAGAATTGGCTCAAGGGAGGGGAGGCCAGCATGGAGCCCATCTGCCTTGTCCCGAGACCGATTGGCAGAAACTTTTTTAAGCCTCAAATCCCGGCTCTCGCTAAGTCCTGGGCAAATTAGAGGTGGTCAGGT